CTACTCTCGGCAATCGAGTGCCAGACTTCTTGAGCGCCACTCTATAGCTCCGCATCAATACCTTGCCGTCGAGGGCCACGAATTGGATGCAGTGCTCCAAACCGGACAGTCGTATGGCCTCCACGTCCGGACCCGCGAAGAAGTCGAGCAACAGGTTCTTCAGGCGCTGGTAGTCGGGCTCCACATCGAACGCCTGTCCGCTGAACGTCACGATAGGTTTGGTTCCCACCGACGTCTTCGGGACGCCTTTGAACTCCTGGAGGGACCGGTAGTTATCGAAGCCGAGCTCATACATGTCGAGCACGTGGTCGTCGAACGTGCGGCCGATTATCACATTATTCGGCCGTTTCTTCGTGTGGTTCGCGAACGCAAAGAGCGTTGAGTTGTTTTTGGCGGACATTCGCTCCAGAGGTTGGCTGTTGTCCATCGGATGCCACGACTCCTTCCTGTGGGACAGGGAGTAGGGGACAGACAGACAGTGAGTGTGGGCTGACATGGGAGGCGCCCACGTGTGGGTCATACCGATTGAAGTACACGCTGTTTGGCTTCTTCAGCAGACACTGCGATAAATTGTGGACACAATTAGACACATATGAGTGAGTGATCATTGAATGGCTTACGAAGTCCTTCAAGAGTTGGACACATCTCTGGCTGGCAGTGGATCCGCGCGTAAAGATAGCAGTCTTCGTGGCCTCAATCACCTGTGGCTCCCGTTTCTCGAGAAATCGTTTGCCTCTCCGTGTCTTCGCTTTCCTGACAATCAGATGAAACAAATGTCACAACAATTGAGACAAAAGTCAATTCAAAACACCATTTGTTTACAAAAAAAAGTTGATTTAAAACTCTTAGCCGAAGACTTGTCACACCGTCTGATCCCTCACCTGATTTTGTTGATAACCGACTTGTCTTTGATGACACCCATTGTCTGTGTGTCCACTCAAACCACGGATCAGTTAATCAGTGATTGAATGTATTGAATGAAAAGCTTTTAAATTGCAATCAAAACACCGATTCATGTGTTTTGAAAACAGCATTCAATGCATGCTTTTAAAGGTAAGCTCTCGTCATAAATAAAGTTATATTTTAAGTTCATCAATAATCGCCCCCTAATAACAATAACCCGTATTGAATAACACGTGTTATGAATTGGAAAATTATTTTACCCTACAATATATGTAACTTAATATATGAATACTTTATACGCAAACTCAATGCATGCATAAAATACAACCAACTTCTGGTAAAATAAACTATAATTTAAATACAATTAAAATAAACACACAATTAATTAAACATAAAACTAGAGAAAAAACTAATTATATATGAAAATGCAATAATTATATTAATATAAAGGATTGTATGGAAAGGTATTAAAAACATAATTTCATACACCATTACAAACTACGTGTACATTATATCGAGACCACGTGTACTGTCTAATGGGTAACGCATAGCAACGCATAGTATATCCGTTTTGATCGACACTTCCTTTTCTCGTTTCGCTGTCATTATTATCGACACGTTTTTCACACAAACGATACAAAATGGTAAGTATTTGATGATAATTGCCATCACAAGCGCTTCCAGACACTAATCCATGTCTCGATTATCTAGTCGTTAGTGATTCCCGAGAAGTTTAACCACATCTTGCGTGTCATGAACACCAACATCGATGGCAAACGCAAAGTGATGTTTGCGTTGACCGCCATTAAGGTAACAGACATTCCTCCGCATATCATCTCGTGGTCCGCATGTCTCATGTGTTTGTTTATGTCTGCAGGGAATCGGTCGCAGGTTTTCCAACATTGTCTGCAAGAAGGCTGACGTCGACCTCAATAAGAGGGCCGGAGAGCTGTCCGAAGAGGAGGTACTGTCGCTCACTATCTCTGTTTGCTGTCTATCGGTGTGGGACGGGAGGGGAGGGCTGTTTTCGCTGATCATTGAATCAAATGATCCACCGATTGATTGATTGATTGATACAATGATAGCAATCCGTGGTTTATGTCCCATAAGTGACCACCGATTGAATCTCGTGACTAATTGTGTGATTATCTGTTTGTGCGGCCATTAGGTGGAGAAGTTGGTGACGATTATCACGAATCCACGACAGTATAAGATCCCCGACTGGTTCCTCAACAGGCAAAAGGACATTAAGGACGGAAAGTACTCTCAGATCACTTCCAATAGTCTCGAAAGCAAATTACGTGAAGATCTCGAGCGCCTCAAGAAGATCCGCGCCCACAGAGGGCTCCGACACTACTGGGGGTCAGTACNATCCCCGACTGGTTCCTCAACAGGCAAAAGGACATTAAGGACGGAAAGTACTCTCAGATCACTTCCAATAGTCTCGAAAGCAAATTACGTGAAGATCTCGAGCGCCTCAAGAAGATCCGCGCCCACAGAGGGCTCCGACACTACTGGGGGTCAGTACTCGGCACGAGATTTGTGTCACATTTGCTGTGGTTTTGGATTTTTGACTAAACTTTGTGTGATTTGTTTGCGAACACAGTCTCCGAGTGAGAGGACAGCACACGAAGACCACTGGCCGTAGGGGTCGTACTGTCGGTGTATCTAAGAAGAAGGGTTAACACCACGCGATTTGGTTCGCTGTTTATGATTGAGTTTTTCTAAACTTACAATAAATGATATGATATTCAATTGAATTCATTGTTTGCTTATTGATCGTACTGTCGGTGTGTCTAAGAAGAAGGGTTAACACCACGCGATTTGGTTCGCTGTTTATGATTGAGTTTTTCTAAACTTACAATAAATGATATGATATTCAATTGAATTCATTGTTTGCTTATTGGTGTAAAGCGTGTGTGAGTTATGGGAGGACTTCGGGAGGTTTCTGTAATAGATGTGCGTTTGAGTGCATTTGTGGTCTTATGATTGGATAATATATTGTCTAAAATGTAAATCAAATTCATTCAGTTCTTGTTGACGATGAGTGTCTGTACGGCCACTCCTATCCTCAGCTCAATGGCAGTCAACTCCTCCTTCAGAACCTCTTTAGCCCTTTTGGCGGTCAATAGAGGGGACGAGTCGGTCATCTGATTGCCCGTCGACTCCATGTCCTGTTTCATGCCGTCCACCACTTGAGACATCACTTGTAATAAGGTTTCAAAGTGAGTACCCGTCAGACGCGGGTAGAGTCACCACTTGACAGCCATTGAGAAACGTTTGTTACTATTATTTGAAAGTGTGTTTGAATGACACAATTAATAATACAGTAATTTATACCATAAATAATCTCAACATTTAAAGTGATCCAGTTTACACACAATTTAATTAATAATGAGTGACAATAACCACAACTTATTTGACACACATTTTTGGTGTTAGAAATTGAAAGGTTAAAAAGCATTGTCCGGATCTGAGCCTAATTGTCTTGAATACAGTGGTCAACCCTCTCTCCAGTGACCCCGACCACTGGGAACTGGAGGGTCGGGGGTTCTGGTAGTTCGGGAACTTTCACGTGGAAAGGGATTCAAAAGTTTTTTGTCGCTAACTTTTCCATTCAATTGGGCGCCACTTGTGGTGCACTCTATGACTGTGTGTCTGAACACTGCATACAATACATACGAAACACACGATTCACTCAATCCTTGACTTATTTGACACACAATTCGTGTTTACAACCAGTGTTTGCCATCCATTGTCATCACCATAACTGATCCAACGGATCCAAACACGCAGTCATACACCTGATATCATCACCTCATTGTTGCCGCGAATCTGACCATCAATTTGATTGAATACCACAACAAACGACTAAAAGGTTTGCGTTTTTAAGTCTTTCATTTGTATGAATGGTTTCACTGAAGAGTTTTGCGGTTTTATTACAGATTCCGAAGACTATCACCGAACGGATCCCATCACACGATTGTCTCGTGAATGGTCTGGATCACCATTGAGTGAGTGGTTGGTTTCGGTGAACACTTTTATGTCGAAACGCTTGGCGTTTACTGAAGACGAATGGAGTGACGGCAGCGGAGACGACATCGACAGCGGTTTCAGTGGTTCCGCACCACCGAAGAGACGGAGACAGAGTTGCCAGACGTGGCAGTCGTCTCGCGGAACGAGTGGCGACGATCGCAAAGACAATAACAACAACACAGACACTAAATTCTGGACCAAAGCCGGCCATAGCTTACGAGACCTGACATCAAAGGTGTCGAAGTGGTTGCACACAACCAATCCATTCACCAGTAGATCCACAGACGATAGACACCAACGACAGACACCGCAAGACATGAATACAAGCTGTCGATCCAATACAAGCATTAATGAGTCGCCCGTCAGAGACAACAGAGGTATGAACACAACCGCCGGCGCCGCCAATAGTATTAGCGCCCGATTCGCCACTAATTGCGTGCAAACCATACCTC